AAGTAAAAAAAGAATTGAAATTAGTGAGCGAACACGATTTGACACCGCCATCTTTGGCGATTTTTCATTTTTTTTTGCCTTAGCAAAATGACTCCAAAATTGAGAGGCATATACCTCACATCATACAGAACTCATAAAAAAAAATCAGAAAAAAAAGTTATGTTTAGGCATTAAAATATATATATTTTTTTAAATAAAAAAATAAAAAAATAAAAAAATAATTGAACGCCGTTCAATTTTGAACGCGAACGCGCAATCCGCGTTCAAACACACATTTGAACGCGAACGCACATTCACGGCGTTCAAACGGTTACACAGCTTGGAGGGACTAGGCGCCTCACTGCGCTGTCTCTTTCATGTAACACTAAAGTTGTGGACGACGCATGGGTGGTGGCGGGAAAAATACGGTGAGCTGGAGCGTCGACGAGGGCCCAAGAGACAGGCGAGGATACGCACTGGACGGGTAAAGAAGGTCCGCGTGCATTTTACGAAAGGGCAGGGTGCATGTCCGGCGACGCTTGTCCGTGTTTTGTTGGAGTGCGGCAAAAGCTACAAAAGGGGGGTGCGCCCGCCATTCCGTGCCGCAGTCTACCCGTAGCCTTTCCTCCAGACGTGCAATCTACGCTGTGCTCTCTCGCATCGCAGACCGCGCACCGTCGTCCACATGCCGCAACGGAACACGGCAATGAGGGGGAGGAGAGAGAGTGGGGGAGGAGAGAGAGCGGGGGAGGAGAGGGGGGGAAAGGCAAGAGAGGATGGGGCCACTTCGGGAAGTCTGCAACAAAGATTGTAGTTGGTAACAACTCGGATGGCGATGAAGAAGAGGACAACGTGGCGGTGGCGGGCGTCCAAAGCCAGCAGGCGGGTGGGCGATTGGGTTTCGAGCGGGACGGTGTGCCGAGGGCGCTGGTCGAGGCATTAAAACAGGATGGCGGAAGTGTTGCCACCGTCGCTCAAGTGAGGACACCGAAGGGAGGAGGGTTAGTGATCAACGAGGGGCGGTCGCCGAGGCCACTCTTGCCGGCGGGGGGTGCGGCTTTGAGCGCCGCTCGTGGTACGATCATCCTGGTCGCTGGGGCAGGGCGGGTGGAGAAGCAGGTCGCGTCGCCATCGCCAACCCGTGAAGAGCTGACAACGCAACAGGCAGACGGTTCGGGGACGGGCAAGGCGAAGTCCCCTACGCGGGGCGGGGAGGGTGGGGTCACAGGGATGCCCCCCCCCCGACGAACGTCAGCCCAGCGCGACCGGGTCAGGTGGTGGTGGAGAAAAGAGAAGGGTAGTAGACGTTCGCCGCGGAGACGACAGAGGGGATGGGAGGCGGGAGAGCGACAACGACGATGACAACCGCCCTTAAAAAAGGTTGAAGAAGCACGGCCTGGAGGACGATCTGGAGCGTAGGTCGATATTGCGGGTGGATACCGACACGTTCTGGGGTCAAGGTCCCGGCAAACCGTCGAGGGAGGCGGTTACAGACTGCGCGGATTACTTCGTCGCCATCACCAACGGGGACTCGGGAGCTGAGCCGCCACTCATGCTCATCATGCCGCCTGCTGATATCCACCGCACGAAGATCGATGACCCTACGCAGCACGATTCGGCTTTGCGGAGAGCAAGGGCCGTCGAGAAAATCATGATGCGAGCGATCCACGGGTGGATATTCAAGTCGTCATCAAGATCGAATGGCTTCGCACGTGCGGAGTCCTACATAACCGTGGACTATGCCACAAACGTCGCCTGTGTTGTGTGGCAAGGCTTGGAATGGTAGAGAGTGGTCTCCCCGACGCTCGTCTACTACACATTACAGATGAAGATGGACGTGCCTCCGCCTGCAAACTTTAGGGCCTCGCCACACCACTCTCGAAATGTGAAAAAGACAAAAATGTGGCGAGCTCATCTGGCCATGTTCTAGGGGGAAGTTCATTCACATTTTGCACATTTCGACAGTGGTGCGGCAATGCCCTTAAGCTGCCTTTCCGAGAGACCTCCTTCGCTCCTCCAAGTTTTATCCCAGATTCGGGAGTGGAGCCGGAAGGGACAAACGACTTCTGCCAGACTGCTTCACACTGATCGTGTCCAAAGGCCTCGCTGCACTACTCTCGACATGCAAAAAAAACAAAAATCATGGTCATGTATCTTTCCATATTCTGGCGGAAGATTCACTCTCGTTTTGCGATCTCTCTCTCTCTCTCTCTCTCTCTCTCTCTCTCTCTCTCTCTCTCTCTCTCTCTCTCTCTCTCTCTCTCTCTCTCTC